TCGTAATGACAATACTCTCCGTCTGTTTCAATGTGTGCCGATGGTTCTATGTTCGGAGTTTCTGGTTGCTGGGACTCCAGGAACGTGACCAGTTGTACTCATAGGTTTTGAGCTTCCGCTGATGGCAACTAGTTTTCGAAACACTAATTCAACACAAGGGGCTATTTCCTCCGCTTTTATTGCCTTCTGCTCGCTACGAATTGTGCTCCTTTTTTCTAACAATCATCACCCAATGGTCAACTGACAACTTAACTACGCCACGGTAGACGGACTGTGCAACGGCATTGAACCAATGATGGGTTGTTGTGTCCACGCTTTCGGCCAATCGGAGCTTGCCTTGGTGCTGGGTCGACAAGCGGACCGATCCTCTGGCCTGTTGACCGTAACGGCGCACAACCGAGAGTGGCAAAGTGGTTCTGGTACAGTGCTCCGCCTAACAGACCGTCTGTCTAAAGTTTTTCTGTCGCTTGCTGGGCTGGTGCTGAGTGAGGTTTGCAAAGGATGCCACTGATATGGTGATCTGATTCATCGATTGCGTGCTGGTCGAAGACATATGCCTCCGAACTTGTATGATATGCGTTCGCACCAGCCTCGCCTTACACAATCCCCGTCCTTTTTCGGTGTGATTATTATTGCTAGTTCTCACTAAATTGAGGAATAACTGAACCCAATGTCCATTAAAAATCATCAGCAGTGCCCTTAGCCGTGTCAGGAATATAACCATGAGAGTCTGATATGCGAGGCGAGCGTGTTACCGCTGGTGGAGAATATACAAAACACTCGCCTTGTGTGTCCAACTTCGAACGCACACTGCTGATGCGCCCCCATAAGAACGAAACTCGTTCAATTTGATGCAGACCGTTTGGAATATTCTTATCGATGCGGGAGCAAAACCATTCAAAACGACGGTGATGTGAATAAATTTCCACCCTGTTCTTGGTTGTCTTTCCCCGCCTTTCACCTTACTTCTCACACTTTACCAATGCTTTCTTGGCTGTGTGGCATTCAAGCACAGTTTACTGTTTGTGCACTACTTTCAACAATGACCATGACGCTCTTGCAATTCGACACAACTCGGATTTTTCTAATCGTACACAAATCTGATCAGATGAGTAAATCCAAAACTCTTTATGTTACATATTGACTTACTTGGTCGCTCCAACTGATTTTCGCGTATTTCATTTCTCCACAGCGAGGCAAAAGGTAAGCCGATGAAAATTTCCTTCACTCTATCTCATTTTGCGTTGAACAAGTGCTGAAATATTTTCTCATCGTGCTAGAACTCATTTACACCAACCATGCAGCTAAGCTCTCATCAGAGTATGTTGTATGCCTAAAGTGATTTCTTGGCTTAGCTTACGCGATAAATTTTTCCTGCAGCTTGACTGCGTGGACTCAGCCAAGTCCTATTTCTGATTCTGCCCAGGATTCTCTTGGTGGATCCGGTGATTTCTACACCTGTAAGAGATTTGGGGGTGTTGATTTTTAGGACTAGCGAAACTCTGTCTGGTGACTTTACTATTACAAGACTTCTTTTCCTCTGATCTCACATTACTCATTTTGTTGAAAAAATATTTCGCATCGAGAGGTGATGGGCGTGCTGCGCAGGTTTGAATGGTTAAGTACCTTACATTTCTAAGGGACGTGTTTGAGTAGGTAGACCACGTTGGCCAATTTTATTAAAAAGTGATTTCTAAGCCGCTTAATAGTTTACTCGAGTAAAATCCGGTGATCACATAAGCTGGTGTGCGCCATCGGCCACTGACCGAAATTGTTCGCAGCTACGCAATGTAAACTAATCCGAAGTAAACTTACAGTGGGCTCGGCGCGTATGTTCACATGAGGGGGCAAGCAATCTCTCTCCTAACTTCAAGTTCCTAAAACCGAGGTCCGTTAAGTTTTATCAGATTGGGTTGCCCTCAATGCGCAACCGACTCGCAAGGATAAGTTAATTGTGACGAGCGGCTGAGAGCTGCAACCCCGGGATAACGGTTAACTAAAGGCTGAAACCCGAACTCGATGACCAAAATTTTGTTATTGAGACAATTTACAGGCAAAATAACCCTTATCTTAATTGATGGGAAAATCTCATATTTGATCCGAGAGCCTTTTGGACGACTCCATATTGGCTGATAATTTTTAAAGCACCACATCTCCCAATGTTCTGACGGGTGCATATGCCTAATCAAAATCAAGTTCTTAGGTCACGAGCTTATCTACCCTATACCACCATCAAAGGACCAGAGGACACGCTCAATTAACTTTACTCCATGTTCTAATCGACTCCTGTCCGAATCTAATGCCGTAAGCTAATGTCGCTAATAATCCAAGTCCCTTCAGCGCAATGGTTGGCAGCTTACACCGGCGTTTGCCGCTGGTAGCCCATGGTTGGAGTCGTCTGCCTACAAGTAACTACAACGATTTGTCAAGACGAAGACCCGTTTCGATAGCGCTACATAGTCATTTGGTGGCATTCTTTTACGAATGGCCTTCCGAATTTGAGGTCCATCACCCCCGTCTCCTCACTTTCTGTCATAAAAAGAGCTTATTTGAGAGTAGGGCAATATTACGGCAACATGTGAAGGGCTTCTTCGATTACGCCAACATCCCTGGTACTCGTATCATCATGCTTGAACCGGGTAGTAGCTCTCAACTCATAGCTCCAGTTCACCGATGTTCTGCCAGGTCCATGCCATCACAGGTAACTTACACTTGACATCACATCCGGTTTCTCATGGCTACTTGTGTACCAGTAGGGTGCAGGCGTTCAGTGTTTCGACCAGTGGTGCCCGACACGTCCGTTCTGAATGTCATCCAGCCGTGTACCACACCGTCCTCTCGGAGTACCTCTCACTTACAAGGGCAGTGGAGTTATTGCTCTTGATATCTACGAAGTATTCCCTGTACAGACTTCCTACCGAGAGAGGATGGTCGCTTTGAAGGAGATCTCGAGTTCTGCTCATATCTCACAAGATGCGAGGTGTTAGTGATTGTGTTGTCCTCTTATAATGCCCCTGCCAACTACTTGCATCGATAGTAGTAGTATGTGTATTCGGATGTATAGATGTGACACAGTACCCATAAGGTTAATGAAAACTTTGACAACCCAATTACCGGCTTCGCCTTTGTTGGGACCCATCCGGTAGGCACATTCCTAGAGTTTCCACCAACCTTATCTTCTGCGTGAACCCCAATTGTACGCGATTCGACAGAATCCTCTTTTGTATGTCACTTAGTTTTTCACGGACGACTCACCCGAAATCTAGCTGAATCTCTCCTTCGCGATATTCTTCAACTAAATGTGCTTCACGGGAGTCCTTCAAGGAACATCGTAAACGAACGACTCCGGTGCGATCCACATGAGTCTCCCGTGAAAACTAAATTGGTATGCAAATGAGTGTACTTTATCGAATTTGGGTTTAAGGAGAACATCGGTTGACGGAAACTCGGAAACTGTGCCTACCTGATGAGCCACCAACATGGGCGAAGCTGATCGCATACTATCGAAAAGTTTGCAGCAGCCTTGAGTGTAGTGTGTTTTGTTTGTACAATGTATCGTGATTTCTCGAGAATCATATCAATGAAAAATGAGGTGGTCTGGTGTAGCACATTCATTTGATGAAGAACATAAACGAGAGGTTTAGCTGGAATTCAAGTGAGTTTCCCGTGAAAGCCGAGTTGGTGTGTAAGTGAGTTCATTTGTCGAATTCGGATGTGTAGTTTAGGGTCTTGCTAATATGCGCAATAAGAGGGCTTGAAGTCCAAATGAGAATGCGTTAGACCTACTGAGCAGTTCTTGTATCAGATGGGCCACGCTGTTTCCAAAGAATGAGGTACACGACACTTATTCTCAACTTCGCTGTTTTCCGAGAAATACGCATAAACTATCTACCATTATCATGCACTCGGAAGTGGGTTGCATGCTCTTACATGGATTCGAACATTTATCTGGTCGGTTTCTACATCGGAACTTTTCGTTGAAGCCTCTCGGCCATTACTGGCCAGACAAACTATACTTTAATTATGGACACTGGAGAACATCGAACATGTTAGCAGTACACGTCGATCGATCGTTCCAACCCAGGTTACGGTCCCAAAACTGCATTTCTTCCATTTTAGGTTTTATCTCAATGAGGTACCTAATACGTGCTGTGTAAAGTTGAAAATGTATCCATCTGCTTTGCCGAGCATCTAAACTATATTCATGAATCTTCCGAGCAACAACATGAGCTGAGTCTGGATATCCTGGCTAGCTCCGTCATGGAAACGATCGATAGATCTTAACTGACTGTCTGTTTTCCAAAAACCTTCCCTTCCAAGTTTCCGCCCAAGAACACCTGTCCAGTTAGACAAACGTGGTCACCGGCTCACCGTCTATAATAGGTATTTAGTTAGTGACTATGACAATGACTACAGACTGATTTCAGCAGCTAACGAGCAGTTGCACGGAGCATCAATAAGTAGGATTTTCACGCTCGGTGACAGATCACTTGAGTATAAAAGTTCGAGCATACTGCAGTATCCATAGCGGAAGGGGTTTTAGTAATATACATATATATAATAAATAATATAGCGAACCAAGAACGTAATACGACATCCCCTCCAGTTAGCAGGAAATTTCCCAGAACACAACGAACACTGGCCCGTGGGAAGCATTTCCCCCAAAATGAAATTTTTTACCCGAAGTAGTCATCTTTTGTTCTTATCTACGTGTGTGATTACACATCCCCAGGCAAAACTGCGGGAGCATGCTAATGGTTTTTGAATATTTATCTAAAGGACGGAATCGCTACGGCTTTGTCGTCAGTTATACAGTCGGTAACACATGGATAACAGATGCTTGCTTAATTTGATGTCTAAGTAATTACAGTTGGGTTCTTTTAGCTTTCATTTTAGCGGTTGATTGAATGGGTGGGTTAAGTGTGCCAGTTCTTTCACCACTATCTGTGGGTGGAATGAGATCGTCGTTTTGCTCTCTCACTGTACTCTGTTCATCGAAACCATCCAAATGACAGAGTTCATTCCTTCAGCCAATAAGAATGGTGGCACAGATGAGGACGAGGATGATGACAGTGAAGACGAGGATGTGGAGCTGACTGGGGATGCTGATGAAGACGCCAGTAGCACTGAAGACAGTGAAGATACTGCTGATGATGATGAAGAAGATGAAGACGAGGATGAAGCAATCAGAGGTCTTCGTTTGGGCGTTCCCAGTGCGTTAAAGGATCAAGATGACAGCGAACCTGGTGTGGATAGCGGAACAACTGCCTGTGTCGCCTTGTTACTCCCGTATAACGGCATAGTGAAGCTGTTTGTTGCTAATGCTGGTGACTCGCGTGCTGTCCTCTGTCGCGGTACTGTCGCCATAGACTTATCAGTGGATCACAAGCCGGAAGATGAAGACGAAAAATCTAGAATCACAGCTGCTGGTGGCACAGTCACCCGCGATGGTCGGGTGAACGGGGGTTTGAATCTCAGCAGAGCTCTTGGAGACCACAGTTATAAGGTGAGCGTATGGGTTCTCGTTTACCAAAAGTACTTTTTTTACGATATACCACATGTAACAGTTCTCCCTTGTAGGTCGTCTTCCGATAAATCTAAACCTGTAGTTCTGGAGCGTCATTCATGTGTGAAGGGAGCACCTTAACTAATTATGAACTAATAGATGTTATAGGCTAATTTCTCCCAAAACTCCGCGGAGATGTAACTCTCAACAACTTATCTAGTCTTTGAGATGGCGAACCTCTAACCCAACTGTGTCGTACACACTTATATGACCCGGTTGAAAATCCCAACAGCTTCTGGCGTTCCGACTCTTCACCTCGACAAATTTTGACTTGCATCGACACTGTTCGGTTTTCGAGCAAACCAACGGCCAAAACAATACTTACCGTTCCTATTCTGTATGAGCTCATCGAGGAAATACCTACTGCCTTCCTTCAATCTCCCATCATTTGTGAAAAAGTTAGAAATCGCGAAATCATGATATGTTTTTGTCAGGGCGCGCCCAGACAGAAGAAAAAGTACATGTGCAGAGAGTGACGCATCCCCAAGGTCATCATCGGTTCGACACGTCTGGAAAGTAGGTGAGTTCGCGGCTCTCACCAAACGGCTTAGCAACACACGACCAGCGGAGTGGGCCTGAGAATGTTCACGACCGGAACACCACCATTGGCTGTACGGAGCGAACAAGTGAACGGCCATGTTTGGCCAATTAGTCATCCTATATACTTACGCAGACGCTCTGTACGTTTTTGTCCTGGCAATACAGCCGTGTCCCCAGTTGTCTGTCTTCTCCCTATCGCGTAGTCTGGCAGGCGTAACCCAATAGCTCGGCCACCACCGCACAACACAACAGTTTTATGGGTTGGCTACACTTCGCTTGGCAAAGGCAGCTTAAAGTGGAATCACCGAAAAAAGATAACATCATGCAGTATGCTACATTGCAGGCGCAATAATCTGCGGAGCGCTCAGTCAATCTTGATTGTTAATCTGTGGCAGCAATGCAGTCTATAAGTGCTTATGAGCTGTCAGCTTGTAGTCGAGTTGAGCATAAATGATTTCTGTAGTCCCTTTCCCCAACGATCAATCCTACAAGGTGGAAAGAATTTCAACGAAGTGAGCACTGATTCATGAATCATGTGTGGCCATCCACTCACCGCCAATGATACATATAGCTAATACACTGAGTGCCTACCTGTTCACTTCAGCACTTGCACGACGGATCGAGTCATACAGCTTTTGCGGTGAACAATGCAGGCGGTTGCGTTTTGCTTAAAGACACCGGTTTCGTGTCTAGGCGTCGTAAATATTCAGTTATGCGGCGCGACGAGAAAGGGCAGAATTAGGTCATTGGAGCGACTTATTGATTTATACGATGGGCATGGCACAGGAGGCCTTCAATAAAGTAGGCAACCAGATGTGCGTCCATTTCCCGTGGAAACTTGCGACCTACTAATAAACGGGCTTCATTTTTTTGAAGAATAGTGCGATAGTGCGACGCTTTTGTGCGTGGTGCGTTGCACCGAACGTTCTTTCTTGCCAATGACTTTCAAACGGCTTTGAATGACGAACATCCTGTACCCGGTGTGCAAGTCTTGACTTCACTAGTGCCCACTGCACCCCAGAGAACATCAAACATTGACTGTCTTTTACTCCGTTGCTAGTCTCTCCCCGTGTGTTTCAATGTCAAGCTGACCTGCACGACTCAGAGATCACTTTATTTGACTGACAAAATTAGTGATACCACGAATTCCTCCGGAACGTTTTCCCCCCATTTATGTTTTCCCGCACATTCTCCCGCTTCCGTTGCTTCCATTTTGTTTTTCACCTTGTTCTCCAAAGCGGCGATGAAGGAAGTAATTTCGTTTCTGTGACTTGATACGCTAATGCAGTCATCTGTATCCTTCGCCACTGTTTTCGCTTACATCTATGTCCACTCGTTCAACCGAAGGCCACGTTTAACTTGCGTCCGATTCCTGAGTTGGCTTTAACTCTACTGGCTATCGCTTAGCTGTGCCTACTTGCTTTTTATGGGTTTCTTGCTCAAACCGCTGTTCCCCTAGGACTTTTCTTTACTGCATATCGCGCACTCTAAACCACGGTTGCAACTAATTTCTTATAGGGTAGATTGCCAGATTGATCACCCCATCTAAGGTTTTGATGGTCGATTACCATTAGTTGCTTCACCACGCCTCAGTTCTACAACCGTAGTCTCTGAACTAATAGTCCGATGACTTAGCGCGTCAGACTATGTTCGCGAAAAGAAAGCATCAGAAAAGATGCATCAGCCAGTAGACACCACGCTAAGTTACGTTTCATAGCTGGATTTCATCTTCAACGCGCAATAAACGGGCCAACCCAGCGAAATACACTCATTTGCAAATAAATTTGGTTTTGCAAGAGATCCGTCTAGAACCCAGATGAATCCCTCTGAGAAACTCCGGGACTGCGCCTACCTAATGAGACCCAGGCTGTAGTGTTGTATTTCGTCTAGAAATTGACCAACTGTTTGTGATCTGCCTTTCTTCTATCCTTTGTGAACACCAAAGAAACTAGCGATTATGAAGCTGAAGAATTAGTCCTATGTTTATGTTGTGATGCATATAACCCACTATACTGTCCCCAGTATAATTGACCTTGGTGGTTGATCTGGTAAACAGATCGACGACCGCCGTATCACCCACGAATGAACGCGCCCAAGCTACAAATATTCTGGTACATTTCCATCATTATTTTTCGCATTAGCAAGCACAAGGACTTCCATTGGCCGTCCAAATGATTACGCCATCTCCGGACGTCACACAGTTTGATCTTATTCCCGGTTCCGATCAATTCCTTGTCATCGCATGTGATGGCGTCTGGAATTCCATGACCAGCCAAGAGGTCGTTGATTTTGTGCGCGAGCGCCTACAATCAAAATTGGATACCAAAGGAGATGAACGATTGACGCCTACCTCTGATCGTGAATCTGATGCAATAACACTGTCAAAAATATGTGAAGAGGTAGATACATATGGTTGTTTTCTGACCGGTTTTGCATTTTGATGTTTGCCTGTTATATCACATTGTTCTACGCCACGTGTGACGAAAGCTTATGTGACACGTAGGTACAACCTTAGTGTCTTGATTGCTCAAGCTAGAAAGCTGACTGCACAACTCTTAGAGTTTACTTGGTTCAGAAGTTGTGCCTTCTCCCTACGAAAACCGTTCCGATGATGTGATAACCGGCATATGAAGGCCGAATACCGTACACGAGCTCCATCAGGAGCTCGGTTATTATTTTAGTCCCCCTTCCAAAGGTACTCTTGACCGGAATGGGTGGAGCTCCATTGGAGATTCTGCCTTAGAAAAGAACAATTGTCTTGCTCGTTCGAAGAACAGTAAGTTGCGTCCCATTAAGAACATTCACCTATGAGCCAAAAACAATCCCGATTTTCCGGTCGGCGATTGTCCCTCCTTTGGCACCCATTGCGCACTCTATAGCGAAAACCCAAAAACCACGCCGACATTAAGTTTGCTCATTGGATCAGTGCACTTAACCCAAGCTCCGCGATGGATTGACTTCTTTCAGGATGTAATTGTTTCTGTGCCCCGTTATTATCACCATCCGTATCTTGTTGACTTATGCTGGGGTACCCGGATTGCACCCGAAAGATCCCTTACATCAGGTTAGAACTGGGAACATATGACAGCCTTTTTCAAGTCCTTACGACTCGAAAAACAAGCGAATCTGGCCGTACTCTTATTATTCTTCAGCTGTAACGTTAAAGGAAGGACGCCCAGCTTTCGATTTTCTCCTGTTTAAGGTTTGTTAGAAAGGTGTAGTACTTGTATTTCGAGCTTACTCGTTGCCCAAATAGTACATAAGTAATTTGTTTGAGAGTGAACTATATACATAAACTTGTACGACACCTTAATGCACATTAAACGATAAAATCATAGAAGAGAAATTTTTCCTAGTCTAATATTAAGCTTTTCACTTTTCAACCCACTTGTTCTACTCCAACATAATTTTTGGTCACGTACGGCTGTCTCACTGTGAGGCTTTTTAGCCAATTGCTTGGTTTGAAGATCCTCGATGCACTGGCCGCATCACAACCCCCATGTACCTATGAATTACACCAAATATTCTAGTATAATCATTGATCTGTCTGGCCGGTCAATCTCACCTCTCTTCTTGTGACCAGAAGAGGATTCCGCAGTCTCTGTCGCAATCATTATTCATCTGTCATACGGCGCAATCATCTTCACGTAACTGGAGGATTGTCTATAGTCACTGCCATGTGGTTCGTTTTTAGATGACTGTAAAAGCTTTTGACGAACAAATGTATGCTACCCTAAGTGAGTTTTTACAGCAGGCCAAAATCTTGGGTATCATCGTTTTCAGGGATACAGTGCTCAAAATAACTTCGAAGCCCCTCGCCTTATCCGTTTAGTTTCATGATCCTTGTGCCTACACTTTTTGCGTCCTCCTTCCCCCCCCCCGCTGTACGCCATCATACACTTAATGTTTCCATTGGCACTCTGGGGCAATATTAAGGTGAGTTTTGCCGACAAAGTACGGTGGAACCATATTACATTCTCATAAGTGTCGACGTCAACTCGTTGTATGCGAATGTTCCAAAAAAAGAAACTTTAGAAGTAGCCGATCGATTGCTACTAGCAGACACCACCTTTCAGAACGGACGCAGCTTACGGTAAATGAAATAGTGGAAGGCGCAAAAGTGTGCCTGAATTTCACTTCGTTTTTACTCCGTGGTTTACACTCAAGAACAGGGTCTAGCGATGGAATCTCCTATATCCCCGGTTTTGGCAAACATTTTTATGAAAGATTTTTAACAGAATGCCTAAGCTGGATTCACAAGATATTTTGGCGTTATGTAGATGATGTTCGTCGTGATTAATCGAGACAAGGTCAGTGTCCGAATGGTCTGAATTCACACAACGCATTTAATACAGAGGTAGAGTCAACTTCGGGTGCACTACCTTCCTTAGACTATATGACGCATAAAGTCGGGGAAAAACTAAAAACCACAGTGTATGAGAAGCCAACTGACACGGGCGATTTTGAACTACACGTCTGCCCATCCAAAGTCAAAATTCGCTTGTGTCGCCTCGCCAACGCTTAACCGAGTAAGGGCCCCGTGCACAGAAGAATTTGTTTGGACATCGGCCCAAACGGAAGTAAAGAACAAACTTCGGAATAGTGGATATCGCGCTTGTTTTATTAGGCGTCATTTAGGAAGGCTATGTGTACCTGCGGCGAAACCTAACAGGGGGTGGATTGGGCCGGTGTTATTCCATGCGTCATTTAGGAAGGCTATGTGTACCTGCGGCGAAACCTAACAGGGAGTGGATTGGGACCGCTGTTATTCCATATTAACCGGAGAGATTCTAAGGATCCTAAACATGGTTAACATAAGAGCAACGTTCCAGGGGACGCTGCGTCCCGCACTGATGCAGTCGAAGGATCGCCTCACGGTGAACAGAACCAAGGACTGTATCCGGACTGCACTAAGACGTCCGGAGACCACACCGGAACCGTCAGGCACAAGAGAAACATAGATAGGCCACTGAGAAACGTAGATGAATGTCGAATGTGAACGAAAGATTCAGCAATGCACTATACACGTAAAACATTTAGATATTCAAGTTTTGAAGTGAGAACTACGGTTCACGTCACAGTGACTGATGGCTGAGGCTGTATGAATCGCCAGACATCCCAGTGTTAATAGAATAGAGGGCGTAGAACTGGCAAACTTGCGGAGAACGGTTTTAGATCAGTCGAGCGTTATCAGCGGGTATCAGCAGTAGCTTAGATAGTGTCTGAACCGAAGCGGCCAAAAACTCCACCTAACTCACCCCTCCCCCAAAATAAATTGTTGTAGCACGCACAAACCCACAAAGGCCAACAAAAAGTTACCAGTAGCACCCAACTGAAGCTCCTTGAACCAAAGATCAAAGATCCAAACCCAACCAAAATATTTTCAACTTCCCCCAGGTAATCACGCTAACCAACAAGACCTTTTAACTGACCTTCAACAGTGATCTAGTGTGCCAATCAGAAGAGGTCCTTCTGTCGTAAAACTCGGCCGACTTGGTAACCTGCTCATTTGGCCTGACGAAGCTTTCGTGTCAAAAGTAAAAAAGTTGCCCAGCTATAAACCCACGAAATGTTTACCAATCCCTTCCAAAAGGAGGTAATCATGGTTTTCAGAATACTTGTCATTTTAAACTCTCATATGGTGATCTTAAGCCGGGTTAAACGTGAACAGTTCCTCCGGTGACTTAGAGGATGGGGCAAAACTGCTCTTTAATAATCAACCGTCCCACCGATGTAGTTGCTTCCGCAAAAACTGTCGCATTCATAAATGTGCACTAAGGCGGCATGTTGAAGGGTTTTCATTCCCTATCTCTCACTTGATAGTAGAACTACCGCTAATGGCGAGTTTATGTTTTCCAAGACATTTATCACGGTCGCATTCTTTCTTTTCAGTAGCATTTTACAAATGGTATCTGTCATTTATAAATGGTAATGGTAATAATAATGGTTCAGGTGTAGCACTCTTTCGGCGCCTAACTACCATGCCACCAGAAGGAAGCGTGAGGGCTGGAATACTGCTAGGTTGCACAAGCTTAGACATGGGAAGTTGAAATCCAGAATGTTGGTAGCTCAGCTAGTCTTAATAATCGTTGGTTTGTTCGCTGAGCCAGGCAATCCGATTGCAAACGTTTCATCCTCCAATTCACCCAGCTCAGCGAACAGACTAACAACCATCCAGTTCTAGTTTATCACATTAGCACCTCTCGTTTACGTATGGTGTTGTTGAAGCTGTTTTTACTGTGGTCCAACATTGTCTTCTTCTGCTTCCACTAGATTTTCGACCATTGTTTGGCTCCTAACACAGATGGTGATGGAACCGGTTGTGACAATATGACTTGCATCATCGTACGTTTTGACAACCTGGAGGGCCTTGCTAGACGCTCGTTAGAGAGTTCATGCAACCTAGCAAATGTTCGGAAAAGAGCGGCAGCTGATGAAAAGATTTACTTGGACGAAGCAGTAACCACAGTGGATGAATTTAATACTATCACTTCTTCTAAACGCATTCGAAGCGATGTTCCTCCATTGGATAACTCAGCAATCAAGACCGGTGTTACGAATGGCGACTGCATCTAGCTACTCGGTTCTTATTTGCAAGGTTGACTCTTTTGTACCCTAATTTGGATGTGTTTCTATGTTTTGAACACGTTAGTTCACAGCTAATCGCAGTCCTGTATGGGGCTTTGTCAGTACTGTCGCTTGCTCACACGTGTTCTGTTCTTCCTTGAGAGTATTTTGCATTTATATTGGACCGCAGTCAAACCACGGGAGGCAGTGCTGGTGCAATTTTGCCATTTTCATTTTTCGTGCGCACCAGATCAACCAGTTGCGCATACACTCTTTCCCCACTTATCTACCCTATTATTCAGATTTTTTAGCTGCTGTTCCATTTCTCCACTGGTTNTCGTGCGCACCAGATCACCCAGTTGCGCATACCCTCTTTCCCCACTTATCTACCCTATTATTCAGATTTTTTAGCTGCTGTTCCATTTCTCCACTGGTTTTTACGGTGAAACAATCATGGGCTCGTGCGTTTTCTCTTGGTCCTCAAAATACACTTTGCAATTCACTGTACTTGTTCTTGCACACTTCAACCAGTACCACGTTCTCATGTGTTCATTCCTTCAGTCGCAGCATGACACTTTCGGTCGCCTCACCAGTAGTGCGCACTTTAGATGATTATTTCATCCCAAGCTGTGAGTGGGTTTTGGAACCACCAAGTAGTGAGGATTTAGCTTTTGGAAATCAAGAGTATCCGTACAACTGTTCCGTATTTTCATCCATGTCCCTAAATGTCAAGTCATATTGTGTTTTCTAGGAACATCATAATGGGGGAATGCGGTCAGTCTAAGAACACTAAGTTCGGTACAATAAGTTACTACTTTCAACTAGAAGCCAAGCTGTGAACGTTGGTCGGTCCGTGCCTTTGGCTATTAAGTCATCTGTCACGGCTACATCAGTCTGGATACTAACCTCTTGTGACCACTTAGAGGTGCTGAAGAGATATCTGGTCTATACGTTAAGGGTAGGGTTTCCTGACTTCCGAGGAATCTGTTGTGGATCCTTAGCTGTTTGATTGAGATACCTTGAGATTATCCCGGTCGTCCTCGTAGATGTTGCTCCAAGCCGTACTTTCAAAGCAGATTTCATAGCACACGTGCTGTGAAACCGGTATTTACACTACATTCACATCGGCGATATTTTTTCGCCCTCGTTTTCTTGGATAAGCTGGACCTCTCAACATGTAACACTATGTGGATTGGAACAATCAGCATCAGAGACAGCAACATCAGTTATGACACTGATATTGATACAGGCCCAAAGTGAGAACAAATTGAATGGTGAACTGACTTTGGTACCCACGCTTCCAAACCCTCAATCAGACAATATAGTAACAAACTGTCACCAGGAATTCCACTGACATCGATTAGTTGTCTCCAACTAAGCGCACCTAGGGGTCACAGGGACACCATCACGGAAAGTAGACCGTCCCAAAAACAAACTCTTCGTCATCTCTCACTTCCACCCTGCCCCTACCAAATTTGTATGCTCTTTCCACAGGTCCATGCACAGGACTGACTGTCTGGCTCGATCTGCATCACACTCAGCTGCAGCTTCTGTACGACCTAGTTCAGTAACAGCCCTAAACACTTCGAAGTCTGTTTTCAAACCCCGACAGCCGTCTACTTAGCCGCCTTTGATGTTCGCGCACTGAATTAAGCAAGTCAACAGGTGGATCATGCTCGTACGCTGGATTCCCTCTGCATTGATGTATGTTGTCTGTCACAAACAAGGATGCAGGACCCAAGTACTGTGATCGAACTGACTGCCCCCTCGCTCTCTTCCAGGTTCGTGCTGCGCGCCTCTGGTGATGCAGAGGCCGCTGCGACTGGATATTCTGGGGTGGGTATTGTATTGAGCGACGGAGCGGAACCGTCTCTGCTTGACTGAATACCCATTGATAGTCGCCTCTGTACGGTTCGTTTGGCAACATTTGTGAGAGAATCTAGAGGAAGTGAGGTTCATCGCACCTTGTTTATTGTTTCTGCTTACGCCCCAACTGACTGTAGCTCTGAATCTGCCAAGGACAGTTTCTATAACGCTCTAGGCGCCCTTCTACAGCAGGCCAAAGGCGCAGATATCGTTGTGGTTGCTGGTGATATGACTAAGCGCTGCTGGGATCCGATTGGGTGGTCGTCTTGGTTTGGACACGGAACGCACGGACAACAGAGATCGCTTACTTCATATGTGTGCCTATCACAGGCTGTCCCTTTGTAGTACGAATATCCGGAACAGCGGAAGTCGCTTGACAACGTGGTGCCCACCAACAAACCAGCCCCGGATCCAAATAGACCACATCGCTGTCAGTTATCAGTGGCGAGGGTCTATCACCTCCTGCCGCTCCTTCTGGAACACCAGCGTGGACTCCGACCATTCACTTGTACGCTGCTGCTTTTCGTTGAGCTTTTTAGCCACTGAGAAGCTATTGGACCCAGAAGTCAAGCGAATTTACCAGAACCAGCTCCTCGAATGCCTGCCGGGCTTCATGATGTCAGATATAAACGACCACTGGAAAAATATATCCAAGGCACTACTCAAAGCCGGAATATCTGTTTTCGGTACAATCCAGCCAACCCCACCCAAGCATTGGATCTCTGATAGGACCATGTCTTTACTGAAGACCCGGCGACAGATTCCACCTGGCCGCCACCACAACTCCATCCGGCGCATCATTCGACGCCAGGTGACCTGAGTGTCCGCGCAGACCGAGAAGCTTGGTGGACCCGAAAGACCAAAGAAATGGAAGATGCAAGCAATGCTGGAAACGTGAGCAAACTGTTCCACTTGATTCGTTCGACTGGACCTCGGAAACCTCTTGTCAGCGAAGTAATCAGGGACAAAAATGGCTCCCTGATATGCAGCAAAGCAAAACGTTTGGACCGTTGGGCACAGTACTTCGAGCAGCAATTCAACTGGCCATCTGCTACCTCTAATCCAGTAACCTGGCCTTCAACAGACAGGTGGACCGTAAATATGGAGTCGCCTTCAGTCTCAGAAGTGTCTGAGTGTATTTCTCTACCCAAGCGTCATCGTGCCCTGGTACAGCCCATGTACAACCATGAATTACACATATGCAAATAAACCCCTGCCACATCGACCGTCGCGTAGTGCCACCAGATAGGTCGATTTACTCGCTGTATACAGCAGGCCGTGTAAGTGAAAACAGGCTAGTGCTGACTTCTTCCACATTCCTTTTATTCCCCATCTTCGAATCCATTATTAATCTCTCCTTATAGCCCCAACACTTAGGATTGCTAACTACGTTCGTCCTGTGTCGGTTTTGCAAGCACTCGCTTGGCTGTGTGCTGTTGGTGTCACTCGTGCTTCGTCGCCTTACAGTGGCTGGTGAAACACTGGCTCGAGAGCAGCAAGTGGGGGTCCGGCATGGTGTGGGTTGCGTTGACCAAACCTTCACATTCCATGAGGTCCTAGAGCAACACCTTACGTATCAGCGACCCACGATTGTAGTATTCCTGGATCTCTAAGGCGCGTTCGACTCGGCTGACCGGTCTGTTCTTCTGCACAGGCTTGCCCACTAAGGAATGCTCCGCGAATTCTTGAAATGATGAACTCTTTGCATTCTCAGCCTTCCGCACGTGCGACAGCATAAGATGAGCTCTCCGAAGTTGTGGGGCGTTTTACGTCAGAATTTGAAAACTATAGCTTCTGGTTCAAATAAACCAGGGATTGGGTCGTGTCACTCTCGGAATCCCAATGTGACAGTTCGCTCGGTAGCATTGGCCTTCTAGCGTTGGTCAGAGGGTTGCCTTCTGACATCATGACACCGGGACAAGACGTGTCAATTCTGGACCCCCACGCCTCCAAGACATTTCCACCCAGGTGGAATCCTGACTCTCGATGCCGTCGTCAGCCAGCCCATCGTGTACCGACCAACCTTATGATCGCGACATTTCGAATATCGCAGCGACCTGGTGCGGCACATTCAGTTGCCTGGAAACATCAAAACCGAGAGATTCAGCTGAGTTCCAGGTGAGTCTCTCGAAAAATCAAATTAATTTGCAAATGAGTGCATATTCGCTAATTTCACGCAATTTGGTTTCAAGTGGAACATAAGGTTGACGGAAACTCAAGGACTGCGCCTACCTGATGAGCCCCAAGAAGGGCGAAATCGGTCGTGGGCTGTCGAGGAGTTTTCAGCATCCTTATGAGTAGTGCATTACAACTAGATTACTATACAGACATTATACCACCAAAGATGGAAATTTGCAGAGTATGCTTTGCTCGATGAGTTGTGGAAAGATCTGCACACAGGTAACAACGGTCTACCTCTGAATGCCGCGCAGTGTTGAAGCTAGGTACTCTGTGCTCTAAAATATGCAGATAGCCGGCCAAGTTGCGCAGTGTCACCATCCGATTGAAGTTCGATCGAACCAGTTACTGGTGAGAAAGTCGGTCGCTCGATCGATCTAATGGGCGATTCGTTCCAAAGCCTGGACAATCTCGCACCAGGATGCCTAGCTGATTCAATGCCAATGCTTTTGCTGGATATTTCAACTTGCTATTATTATCTGGGGGGCCTGGCGTTGATGTGTGCTGTGTTTCAGAAACAAGAATTCAAGATGCCAGCACAGTGGTTGGGCTAACCGCCCATCAGTCTGCACTCACTTGCGGCTGCGCACCACTAGTGATCCAGAGGCTTCTGTGGCAGGCTGTGCAGGGGCTGGTATCGTCCTAAGACACCGGGAGGAAGGATTCTTGCTTGACTGGATACCTGCTGATAGTCGCATCTGTGCGGTTCGTTTGGCAATGTCTGTGAAGGAGTCTCGCAAGCGGGAAGTTGATCGATGTCTGTTTGTCGTGTCCACTTATGTCCCAACTGACTACAGCTCCGACACCATCAAGGGCAACTTCTCTGGCGCCCTGAATGCTCTGTTGTGGCGAGCGAAAAGCTCTCAGATATCATGGTGGTTGCCAGAGATGTGAATGCACAAATGGGCAGGGTTAGCGTCGACATGGATTGGACTCGGCACGTACGGACAATGGCGAATGATTGCTTCAGCTGTGTGCTGTTTATGCAGTACTAACTTCCGAAATAGTTGATGTCGTCTGGTCACATGGTGTCCTCCAACGGCAGGCCGACCACAAACTCAAATCGACCACATTGCCATCAGTTACCGACGGCGCGGACCAGTAACTAACTGACTGTTGGTCGTTTTGGAACACATTTGTTGATTCCGGCCACACACTCGTCCGGACTACGTTTTCTATTGCCGCGTAACGTGCGGACAAATGGCTTGGCACCTGAGGGATTGGCAGATGCGAATATTAGACCAGAATCGTCTTCACCACCATCAGATGTGAATTTAGACTGAGGCGACATTGCCACATCTTTGCATAGTGTTGGGAATTTCGCCTGCGACACAGCACCAGGCACACACAGCGCTGGATATCAGACCGAATGGTAGCACTGATTAAACCTCGGAGAAATATCCGAGCCGGTCCCGAACATAACTCGATGCGACGAACCATCAGACGTCAAGTGAAAGTGAGCGTGAGAGCCGACCGGGAAGTGTGGTGGACACAGAAGGCCAAGGGAATGGAAGAGGCTCAGAAAGCCGGCAATGCCCGGAGATTATTTCAGTTGATCCGTTTCCCGGAAACTACCTGTAAGCGGAACCATCAAGAATCGGAAAGCAATGACCAACTTGAACAAAGAAGCACGCCTCGACCGGTGGGTTGAATGCTCCGAATAACAGTTAGCGTGGCCACCAGCTGCCACTCATCTGGAGCTCACGGTGAACGTGAAGCCACCTATGACGTCGGAGGTTCACGGCTGCATATGTTTTCTCAAGCGCCTCCGGGCTTCTGGTCCAGATGACCTCCCTCCCGCATTGTTCGAAGATGGGGGTCAAGTCCTCAGTCAGCTCTTGTCTGATCTGTTTTCTCGCGCTTGGGAAAAGGAAACTGTCCCACACAACTGAGGAAAGTCGGTGATGGTGCTCACAGTGAGTGTGGTAACCACATGGAGATCAGCTTCACCCTGGTCGTAGCGAGACTGCCGCCGTCACCTGTGTTTCGTCGCCTTACGATGGCTCGTGAGACACCGACTCGAGAGCAGCAAGTGGGATTCCGGTCTGGTAGGGGTTGTATCATTCAGCTGTAGCAACCCTTCGGTTCCCAACTGCCATGCCACCAGAAGGAAGCACGAGGGCTGAGATACTGGCAGATTGGCCAAGCCTAGACAGGGGAAGTCGAGAGGCAGATGTCGGGTTCAAACCATGGACCTTCCGCTCCAAACACTGAGGCATCTCGTCCTTCGGGTTGCGTTGACCGAATCGCTACGCTCCGTCAGGTGCTAGAACAACGCCATACGTATAAGCAACCCACAATTCTAGTCTTCCTGGATTTCCGAGGCGCGTTCGACTCGGTTAACCGGTTTTTTCTTCTTGACACGCTTGCCCACCAAGTAATGCCCCGAAAGTTCGTAAACATAATAAGCCCTTTGTATTCTCAAAGTTCTGGACGTGTGAGGGTTTACGGCGGGCTCTCCAAAGGCTTCCGTACACAAAGTGTTGTCCGTCAGGGATGTGCACTCTCTCTGTTCCTCTTAAACTTCGTGATCTATCAAGTCATGAGACGAACGCTGGAAGGTATCCAAATCCCCGGTGTTCAAATAGCCTGTGACGAAAGCCATATCAATCTGGAATATGCAGGCGACATCGTTCTCGCCTTCAAGGAGGAGGGGAAGGCGCATTTTTTTCCTAATGAACTGAATAAAGTCACCCACAACGTGTAAGGTCATGCTCGTGGGCATGTAGTCACTGAACACGTCACTTACAATCCAGGGAGAGGGACTGGAGATTGTGGAGCATTTTATGTATTAGTTCTGATTGTGATGTGAGAGATGAGGTCAATGCACGAACCCCCAAGGCTCGGGTCACGTTCGCTAACTTGAGACAAATATGGCATTAGGGTGGTGTATCCTTGAACCTCAAGGGACGTGTATCAAGCTACAATGTGGCTGTTTTGTTGTATGGCTGCGAGACTTGGCCTCTTAGAGCAGCGGAACTGAGAGGGCTTCAGGTGTTCGCCAGTCGTTGTCTCAGAATCATAGCTCGCGTGGGTCAGTGTCGGCGAATCTGTAACAAGACAATTAGAATGCGATTTCTCGATTGTGCAACAGGGAGTTCCATTGAAGAGTGTGTCCAGCAACAGAAGCTGTGTTGGTTGGGATATGTGTTGCATATGCCTAACCATCGTTTGCCGAAGAGTGTGCCGTTCTCCGTGCTCAGTTCAGAGTGGCGAAAGCAGAGAGATGGTCAACCCTCCGGGTGTGGAACAGATTAGAAACGTTTGAGTGCTGACGGTGCTACTCGTCTTCCAGGATGTGGATCGCGTGATCCTCACTGTGCCTGGTTGGAGACGCTGCAAGATATGGCTGCTACTCGATGTCAATGGTGTTCTTGTTGTCAGTTTCTCTCCAGATTGCCTGAATGAGTGTGAAGGTGTAGGCACCTCGGAATGATTGTAGTAAGCTGGCACTTAGTCCCTTGTTCACAATAAGGCTATCAAATAAGTCATGGTTCTACATTAGTGGAGTATCGGTATCGAGCACAGATGTTATGTGCTCGGTGATGATGACGTAAAACATAATCCTTCCTCGTTCAGTCAGACGGTGATGATGGCGCTGCCACTATTTTTGACGTACATCTTTTGCCATAGCTATCCCAAGCGTGTTTTATGGGAAAGTGTGCAGCCATTGAGTTCCGCTTACATCACGGCTGTGCCTAAGTACACGTATTCCCCCACTGTAACCGATTGATTGGCGTTCATCTGAGTTTTTGACGCATGTTCTGATACTTATGTTTCCGCGAAAACCTAGCTTCCAGGTTGAAGCAGATGCACCCGGGAAAAGCCTTGATATCACTAGTATCCAACTTTTTTGCATTCAAAGATCACCATTATAATATTTGCGTTATAATTCCGCAAAAGTGGACCCATAATTTGTCTTAATTTATTTCAACCGAGATTATTAGTCAGCCTTCGGAGGCAGCTAGCCGTATCTGTAATATTGCGGACGAAGTATTCTTGATATCATCAGCACCGTGTTGATCACGTGGCTCAGCATTTGTTGAATCACATTCCCAAAAATGGTGACCAGAAAAGAGCCACTTGTGATCCTGTTGCTGCTCAATCCTCCTATAATTAGACCACTACTGAGTGATCGTGTTGATGCTGCTTGATGAAGGCAACTCGTTAGTCTTCAGATGGCTTTGACGAGACAACGTTTGTTGGTTGATAGAGCCACAAGAATACTGATTTTTCACAGTGGAGGTGCGTTGGTAAAAAGGGGTAAAACCCTTAAGGAACACGTGCTACCGATCAAACTGAACACACTCAAACTTCTCGCGACGACTGCACAGTTCCTTCCGGGTAGGCATGGGTACATCCATTCCGGCTAGCGCTAGCTGGATTATCAATTATCAACTCAATAGTTAGATTAGTGCCCTCAAATCTCATCAGTACTGTTTAATGGACAGAATCAAGCCGGTAGTGTTGTAACGGTGTATACTACTGGCGAAGCACGTAAGGAATGCATGGCCTGATGGCTAAGCTCTTCCCCCGCATCTGATGGAAGATGAAGTTTAATACGGGAATTATAGAATCGCTTTCCGGTGTTCATTTGCTGTTGTTTAATATTCAATCAACTTCCAAGAAAGTTCTAGAGGACGCTTGAATATGATTGCTTTTCAAAAACTCTGTGTAGATGCGTTGTTTACTTTCGCGTCCAATGGCTTTTAAGTGTTGTGTTAGTTAGTGTTTACTAATAAACAACTTCGCAGCTAAGGGCTTTCCTTTCAGTGGTTGCTCCAGAAGCGATACTACTGGACCTTCAGAAAATATACCAGTCATTGTGGGATGCGAAATATGTCCGTTATATGGAATTTATTCATTCTCAAGCATGAATGCTTCAAATAAGTGAATGGCTACTCTGGTCCTCAGCTTGAGACGTTAGTATCCAATGTAGAAGAGATGTTGGGTCTTATTCGCCTGAAATTTGCACTCATTGATTCTTGCAAATGGACCGACACAGCTCGCTAGGCCATAAAAGGGTCTTGACAGGACTGACCGATATCCACTCCAAGGTTTAGGCAATGTTAGTCATCAAAACAAGGAGGGTTTTCTTCTTGTGCCTCATCATGTAGGCGCAGTCTCCGAATTTCCGTCAACCTTATGTCCTACTTGAGCCCAATTGGGCAGGTTTCGAGTGATACACTCATTCTTCGAAGAATTTTCAGCATCCTTGTTTTCGTTGTGAAAGTATACTGCAATATCTCGAATATCGTACCAACCGAAACGTGAAGCGGCCTTTGTGCAGCACATTCAGTTGAAGAATGTCATAAACGAGAGATTCAGCTGGGTCTCCCGTTAAAACCAAATTGATATGCATATGGGTGTACTTGTCGAAGCCTTTCTGACTTGTTTTCTGGCATGCTAAATGCCAGGGACTGCCACAACCGATAATCGACCTAATAAACCCGGCCTGACTATCCATGAGGTTGGAATTATGTTACTGCCTACCAACCCTTTTAATCGGCCTGAGTCCTTGGCGTCCCTCACACAAAAGAACTGCTTTATGGGAAAAGATATCATCCAAGTCACGAAGTTTGAAATGTAGCACCTGTGAATCCACTATAACATGGGACTGTGCCAAATATTGTTACGTTTTGATCCCTACGCTGACAGCGCTTGTAGCCTGGTAGACCGGGTACATCTATTTATTCAATGCGTGCAGTTACGTTCCTCTGTTCTGATGTTTTCATACACTTGTTTCAACTCCTATCACTTCCGACAACTCATAAATAGAACCATACCTTATTGGAAACAAAATAATTTCCTGAGTGCAAAGGCGCGGTCTTTTAAACCCGGACGACAAACAGTGCTTCATACCATTACAAAGGAACGAGGAATGTTGTTAGCAGACCGTGCTGTATGAAAAACTATTGTACATCTGAAGTTCAAACTATCATATATCCTCTTAGCTTTGTTAATTGTGCAGTGTAGTGTATTATTTCTTTTTAAGAAACATCATGCATTGATTGTTCTAATGCAGCTAAATTAAGTCATATGGGGAAACGTGATGGGTAGTACATTGTGCTCTTCACCTTTTATCCATGGACTCCCGTTTGCCTCTGCAGCGTGGTCTCCATCGTAAGATATGTGCTCATTGTCGATTAAATCCAACTGAATATCTGCTTGGGGACGAGTGTTGTGATCGAGCATTGTGGTGAGTTGCAATGCTGACGTTCTGGAAAAGGCGGTCCCGTAATCAGAATAAGTCTGATCTGTCGTGTCCTTATACTGAAGGGCATAATGCTCAGCAGCTGTTGGGCAGCAGCGCTCCATGTCACTGCGAGACGCCTTGCTACTTTCAGCGGTGCAGGCATCCTGTAAAGATGGCGTATTGAACATTGCTAACTCATTTTCCGGTTCAGTAAAGCTTTCTCCGCAGGAACTCTCACCAGTAGATGAGTTGTTTTTCGTTTCCAACCTCGCAGAACTTCCAACACATGGGAAGTTTTCTGAGCCGGTTGTTTTTTCCGGTTCATACTGTGTTCGATTGAGGGCACCCCTCCTGAGTGTTTTTGTTTCAGATACACGATTATCGGGCAACGTGCATCCTGACAATTCAGATATTTCGGTTTGCGGTACAGACACAAATGTGTTTCTATTATATGCAGATAGACTGAAGTTTTGGAAATGCACCGCAGGTCTAGAATTACTAGTTTCTGGTTCAAATATGCATGGTCTGTTGTAATCACGCTTGTTCAGCGAGAGCCGATATCCGAGTGTTGAATGGCTAACCGAGTCACCAGCATGAAGGCATGCAGAATAATCAGAGCTCGACCTGGAAGAATTTCGATCGAGTACGACCGTCTCTCTGAGATCCGGATATCCTTGTCTAAATCGCCTTTGTAATTCCAATCCGTAGTTATGCCAGTCTTGTAATTTCAGATAGTGTTCAAAGGAATGTAAAGCATCGGTCGCTTGCGACAATGTGGATGTTGTGTTCACTATCACTTGTGGGGAATACTGATCATGCGCTCCTAAATTCGCTCGGATTAGGTTGTAGGGGATTTGAGAGAACTGTATTGTTTTTTCCTCCGCCGATGATATCATGTCGGTGCTGCTGTGAGAATCCAGATACGGTTTCGTATTTCTTCGCGCATCCACAACGATCGAAGGTTGCTGAGAGTTGCACAGTGTTGTCGCATCGAAATCCATGTCTGAATCAACTCCAGCGTCCTCGTAACTGAAACAAATGAAAAATCATTTTCAGAATACCATAGGTTTGTCGTTGAGAACAAAATTGACTATTTAAAAGCTTGTGTATCTCCGTTGATAATGACACGATATTTAAACATGTTTACGAGCATCATCCTGTATATACTTATCCATCAATTATTTGCTGGTGTTGACATCCATCCGCAGTACGCTCAGCCAACCTGTTTCCCCATAAGTGTCTCAACACCCGGGCTACCATGGTCCCGGACACTTAGTGAGACTTATGAAATTCCTAAGCAAGAATGAGACAAATCACAGCTAATGGTTCCTTTTAGGGCACAGTAACCCTATATTTGTACCTGAAGAGAAACATAAACGATTGCAGTCGCTCCAAATCTCAGGCCAGTTTTTGTCCCTACCGAATGTAATCAGCTAACGCTTAAGTCCGGGATATCCGTTCTTTACTTCAAAGTAACGACATCCTCCAAAGCATAGGCGTTATTCTGTGAGCGACTTTTCTAGGACTGACGATGTAAATGACTACTAAAGCCAACCTGAAAAGCTGCGGCTTCACTGCCGTTGTAGTGAAAGAATTGGGGGTGATATCCGCAACCAACAGTCAAAGCGAGACACTGAATAACAGACAAAACGCACACAGACATCGTATACGATCCACTTGGAGTCGATTTGCTGGATAATTTGATATTTTCACTGGTGCATGATTTTCAGGCAAATACGAGGCCACGAAGTGATTCTAAACGGCCTACTGATCTAACCTCTGGGCGCATGCGATGGTTCATGGTGAAAGATAACAATTTTATTCTTGACGCTACGTGCTACTCATAAGGTCGCTGAAAATTATTCAACCGGCCACTACCGGTTTCACTCCCCTTGGGACTCATCTGGTTGGCTTAGTCTCTGAGTTCCCGTCAATGTGATGTCCTAATCGAACTCACATACCCGATTTGCAAAATACACTCATTTGTAAATCGCACTGATGCAACTCGCTTGCTTGAAGAATATCATAAACGAGATTCAGTTGAGTTTCGAATTAGCAACAATTATTATGTGAGATCAGCTGCAGGGTGTGGGTGATTTGATGTTTTTAGGACAGTAGCTGCCCATGAATACGGTATTGTCATGTCAATGCATCAGGAAAATGAGGACTGTCCGACATCATCAATGAGTTTTAGAGGGCGCAACACAATGCTTTATAGGTCCTTGTATCTGTTGATGACTGATATGCATTAAAAATGTTCTTGGATGTGAGTGAAGGAAATAAAGAGTGGATAGCCGCAGCAGCACTTTTCAACCACTTCCATTGACAAGCTCTCAAAATTGTCGAGTGGTTTTCTGTCAGATGACCTTTGTTTGTCGATTCATACGCACTGTGTTCCGTTGATCTTTTCTTTGTCGGTCGACTCATCTTTTCATTCATTGCTTATAGTTCTCAATATGTATCAAAAAATGGCGATAGTAACATGAATCGGACGATAAGGTAAATGATCCACCATCACCGCCGATGCTTGTAAACACTAAGAGGATTGGTTCGTGGTCATATGCCTTCAATTAAATGGCCCCAACAGGAGATTCCTAATTAATCGACTCGTGTAAAGTAGTCTGAGGTGAATGTTTTGGCTTTCCAGTTTTTTCAGAAATCTTATTTGGGTAGGAGAGTTAGTTTCTGCCCTCCACTTTGCCCAGTCATCTTAACCCACTGTCTCTGAAGTTCACCGAGGCAGCTGCAGTCACTCAGCACAAGGTTTCCTTGTGTGAACTTAGCTCTCTTGCTATTCCAGTTTGTTTCTCTACTGACTGATCACTTGAGTAGGAGGTGACTATTTGTTCACTAGTATAGAGGCACTACAAAATTCTGCGTTTTAGTTATGTAAAACAGTGCTGGCGGGTCACTACCAAACTCTTACGCATATCAGTCTTCGCATTCTAAGTGTAATTTTCTAGAATTATCCACTATGATGAAAGATGAGAGCGAAGAAGTTATTTCAAATTTAAGTCGGCAGTTATCACTGCACTCTCGATTTTACCCCCGTGGTACATAATAGGAACAAACTTAGCTCCCATACTCATGACACCTCATGTGGTGTAAGTAGCAGTGTTACTCACCAAAACTAAATCCAATTCATGGAAACAGATCCTACCTCCAATCGTCCCGTCTTCTTTAATTCCGGTTTGGGCGGACAAGTTCCTCCTGTTCTGCCCGTGCTTATATATTTTCGAAAGAGTATCCGATAACTCTGGTATTGTTGGTTGGTTGCTTTCACGTAATCTGATTGATCAACCCAGAATTTGCGTTGCTTTTTGGTCTCGTTTCCTTGTATCTGGTTGGTTCGTTGAGTATCCCCAATTCAACAGTTCTCTTCCCTCCTTGCACCCGGTCCGCCTCCCACTGGCTTTGTGGTCAAAAACTGTCATGAAGAGACTGGAACTTACCGAGTTGTGGCTGTTTGAGCACCTGCATAACCCGTTGAGGTACACTGAGGAGGGTGTATCTGACACTCACGGAGCCTTTTATACTAGGTTGGTCAGTGGTTAGAGCCCTAAATAAAGCAGTCTTCCAGGTTGGGTGTTAGTAAAAGTATGGTGACTTGTTCCGTACAGACCCGTACTGCTCCAATGGTCTTACGCCAACCACTAGTGCTTTCAGGTCAGGATTTTGAGCCTAAAGGTTTGGTTGAGAACCCCTATCTTCCTCTTGTCTAGGCCAGAGCACCCTCGTAGTATCCTACTCCACATACAACATGCACACTTACAGACAATCACATGTTATGACCAGTATTCACACTGGACCAGCCAAACTCTTATTGTTATCAGACGTTCAGTTAAGGTCCTCAGTCATGCCTGCTGTAGTCGGAGGGAGTGAATAAAAGAGCAAGTCAACGTTGAAAGCATACCTCTTAGCTACTAGGGCAACAGGAAAAATCGGAAAACCAACTAGAATAGACTGATTCCGCCTCATTACAGTGCCTCGTCAGAGTCTCAGACAAGGCTAATAACAGTCAAATGACAGGATGCAGTTACTAAAAGGTCTGTGTAATCCAGTGTGAACCATCATTTTTTCGCTACCAGATTTAGGATTGAGGACCACAGTTAACCTCAAGCGCTTGTGTTCAATCCAAGTTGTGTCTTCTGGTTGCGGATAACGGTAGGAAATGGTGGAGTTGAAAGAAGCATACCCGGATCGAAATCGAAAGGTGAAGATTATGATCGAAATGTTCAGTTTTGTGAACGCTACACCAACGGGGTGCCACGTAAGGCCGTCAGTGCACCCTGATAGCGAACAATAATTTATTCATGTTACAGTGACCGCTCAAATTTTCGGACGGAATTAATAGTGATCAGTAGTGATTTTCTGGCCCTTGCATATCTGTGATTGCATATTTGGTATGTCTGCTCTCGAGTTTACTTCCTTTACGTCAGTTCATTGTCGGCGGTCGAAGATCATGTTGGTTCGCCTTGTTTTGGATGCCTGAAGAGGACGGACATACTAGGCTGAAGAGAACAATATCAAATGCCTCGTTTCAGAAAGGCTCGTTAAATAATCGGTAGTTTTTAACTGCGTGATGTCTCACTTTCGAAACAGTCTTCGTAAGGCCAAGTGAGCAGCTTACCAAGCTGGCTAGGTTTTAAGGCAGAGAAGGAACCAATCAGCAAGGTCTCCCTCGACTAACACATTAGATCAGTGTTGAATGTCAGTTTAACGGACCTATCGGTGTGATTTGGTTGTCAATAAAATGTACAAGTGGCACCCAAGGTAAACCATCAATCAAAGCGCCTTGAACCGGAAGATCAAAGACCTAAACCCAACAAAAAGTAATTTGAAATTCTCCCAACCCATCGACCCTAAGATTTAGGCAACGGCGCTAACCGATAGGACTGTTGAACTGACACTCAACACTGATATAGTGTGCCTATCGAGAGAGGTCTTGCTGATTGGTTCTTTCTCTACCTTCAGACCTGGCCAGCTTGGTATGCTGCTTACTCGGCCCTACAAAGACTTTGTGTCGAAAGTAAAACATCGCCCAGTTGAAAAACTACCAATTGTTTACCAAGCCCGTGTGAAACGAATACTTCTCAATCGTCCCCGAACTTCCCCCAATTAATTGAATATCAAACTCTGGTTTTTCATTCGTTCACTTTTCCCGCTCCGTTGCTGGCCTGTCACAGCTGGAGGTGGGATTGCGCTAGTCGTATTGAGTGCCTACCTAAATCCAGACAATTCAAAAGTAATTATGCGTCTAGCGGGGTCGAGGTGCCTACACCACCTAAGAACGGGTTGTATTAAGCCGTTTCCAAACTCCCCTTTGATCAGGTGACCAAACGTGATGCGGTTTATCGTTTTCGAGAAAGTTTGGTGACAATCGGTAGATTTATTGCTGGGCCATGTTTCGCTTTTGACACAAAAGCTTCGTCAGGCCAAGTGACTAGGTTCCGAGGTCGGTCGAGATTTAAGGAGGAAGGAGAACCAATCAGCTAAGTCAAGCTAAATCTCTGTTGGGTGTCAGCCGAGGAATTTTTGTGTTAAGATTCCAAGTATTTTTCACCTGATTGATGCGGTTTACTTTTCTTTCCGTATTGTATACTGAGAAACATTTCTTCGTTATGATCTAGAAGATGTAGACCTGTGATAAATATGCGCGCGTACCATATTGCGCCAGGATATACCAATCAGGGTTGTGCAAGATTATTGTACATATGGGACATTCACTTCAAATACCGTGAGGAAATTTATCTCATTAATTCCGTCGACCCAGTAGGTGCACAGTTCTTTCGATACCTTTTGTATTGGCCAACTTTCAACGAAAATTTACCTCTGTCAGCAACTTCTGGAATCCTCTTAAAGTACTTACCCGAAAAAAATCTCGAAAAAATTCTCGCAGTGGAGACATCCATTTGGAACCTCTTTTGGGAAAGCCATCACAATCGGGTATGTAGCGAAGACACTACATTTACTTTGTTTTGGCAGAGTAAACAGATTAGTCAACACCGACACAAATCTGACAAAATAAG